TGCCCTCCCCCACGGCCATCACCCCCCTTCCCCTCTCCCCCACCCCCATCAGTCCTCAGTTTGTTCTCAGCATTCAAGAGTCTCTTATGGTTTGCCTCCCTCCCCCCAACTCTTTTTCCCCTTCTTCTCCCTCATGGTCCTCCGTTAGCTTCCTCCTAATCCACCTATATGCGCAAACATATGGCATCTGTCCTTCTCTGCCTGAAAATAGTACTGGTAGTCTTAATAACTATCATCATTATAGTATATTTTTATCAACAGTCTCTGAAGATAACTCTCATATCTTTATTTCAGTTAAAATTAAATTATATATGTACTTAAGGAATAATTTCAGGCTATCAGATTTTATTTTATTTTTTGCCATTTTGCTTTTATAATCTACCTCTACAACAGCTACTTTCCTATAACTAGGTACACAATGGCAGGGTTTTCAATCCATTTTTACTCATATTGCAACAGCAAATAAGCCCTCAGTAATTGTCTTTGATAGAGCAAGATGAAATTTTATCATAGACAGAAAGAAAAAAATCAACTGGTTCACAATGAATTTCAGTTAAATCAACATCATAATCTGTTAAAAGAGAATTTCATGATACTAATATTTTCATAACTCTATTCAAAGTTTATCCAATCAACACATCTGCAAAGCACATTGCCCAAACATTAACTTTTTATTAGGTAATCTACCACCATACTGACAGGTGGGCCTTATTTGCCTTGGCAGGAGTTCAAAGTTTCTAGAACGTATTGATAGCTAAATAGCCACTAACACTGATAAGAGCTCTAGCCATATTTCTGTGGCTAGACCACCATATGGAACGAATTTCAAAATAGAAAGATTAAAAGAGCTCATTCTTCTGTTAACACATAGTCATTGATACTTCTAAACTTACCTCTCAAGACTGAAAAATTCCCAGTCTTTGACAATCTTCTCCCAATTTTTCACAGCAAATTTTTACTCTCCATTCCACATCAACAAATGTGACCAACTAAGTTCAATCTTTGTTCCAGGATATGTATATGCTTTAGTACTAATCGTGTACTTTCACCTTAGCCCTCATCCCGCATTCTGTCAAAGTCTGTGGCTATTAAAGCTATAAGACTATGTAGAATGTGGCATAACTTTCCTATAAAGGTAAGGATGTAATTAAAATCTGGCTTTAATAATCACTAAGCAAGGGGCTGCCTGAGTGGCTTAGTTGGTTAGTGTCCAACTCTTGATTTCGGCTTAGGTCATGATTTCACAATTCGTGAGTTTGAGCCCACATCATGCTCTGTGCTTACAGGATGGAACCTGCTTGGGATCCTCTCTCTCCTGCTCTCTCTGTCTCTCTCTCTGTCTCTCAGAAATAAGTAAACATTAAAAAAAATTTAATATTCTCAAAAAATAATAATAATCACTAATCAGTGACACAATAATCAGTGTCCAGCATTTCAATCAGCAAGATAACACCGAGTCTTTCAGAAAGCCACAGTCTAGCGTGGTTGTATAAGGAACAACTAGTAACTTGGAATGCTAGAAAAAGTGTTGGGCATAAAATTGAAAGATTCTGGTTTGAGGATCTGAGGCACATAAGTAAAAACAGTAGAAAACAACACTTTGCTCTCTAAGATAAAAATGGGGAAAAATGTACCTACTTTGTGAAATAACAGAAAATGTATCTGAAAATGTTTTGTAAATTATGAAACACTATACGTAAGACATTACTGATGACTTTACATACTCTGGGTAAAAAGATACAGTTGAAGTTGCCTTCAGGTTAATGGAAAGGGCAAGATGAAGAAACTGATCATCTTGGTTTGCAATTGGCAGACACATGAGGCTAACAATGAAGTACGGGGTAGAAGGCAAGGATTATAGTCTCAATATATGTTGTAGAATAAAAGAATGATAAAGATGACTCATGGCAGACACTTATTAGGTGATTTCTATATGCTAAAGTGGAAAAAGAATGTAAGATGTATGCCTTTGAAGACTTAGGTTAAGTGATAGACATTACTAGTGCTAGTCAATATTTATGAATCCCTTCCCTTTCCTGGACACACAGGGAAATTGTACTTCCTGCGCATTTAAATTTGGCAAGTCCATAGACTTGCTTTGGCCAATAAAATACAAATGGAAATGACAAGTATCACTAGATTAAAGCATATTTTTTTAATGTTTATTCATTTTTGAGAGAGAGAAAGAGCACGCGTGAACGGAGGAGGGGCAGAGACCGGGGCGGGGGACAGAAGATCCAAAGTGGGCTCCACACTGACAGAACAGAGCCCAGTGTGGGGCTCAAACTCAAACTCAGATCATGACCTGAGCCGGGGTCAGATGCCCAACCCAGTCGCCCCTGGATGAAAGCATTTAAAACATAGTGTGCAATTTCTCCACATTCTTTTATCATGCTCCAGAAATTATGGGAGCATTGGTAATAAGGAAACAGCACATAATGAAAAAGCTTTGAGCTTTGATATGGAGGCTAGCTACACTGGAGTAGACTTTGAGTGAGAAATAAATTTTCACCTTATTAAGCCAGGAGATTTTTGGTTTTATTTGTTAATATACCACAAGCTGGCCTATCCTGACTACTACACATAGTAAAGAGAAAGTATAGCACAGTGAAAGAAATTGGTTTTATACTGTCTGTACTTAAAATACTAAACTTATTGATTATGACAGCATGTTACTAAGCTTTACTGGTGAATATAAGTATTTACCCAGTCTAAAACTCGGTGATTACAAAACCAAAAATTATGGTAATTCATTTGTAGTACACCCAAGACATTCAGAATGGGGAACCTGAGGAATGTGGGGAATGTGAGGTTAATTTTCAGTATAAGAGCCACGTGATAGATTTCAGAGCAGCTTTTGACATTGATAATGACTTTCTAGTTGATTTTTGCCATATTCCTCTTGCTATTCAGAGCACTTCAATTGTTATTTTACATTTGTTTTATATTTTTATAGATTATTAGAAAAAAATCCTTGCTGATTCAAAAAGAAAAAAAACAGTTAATATGTTGATGATCTTAAGACCCTTTTTCCTAGTAGTGTCATTTCATGAATTAGTGATTCTGGAACTTATGCTGTTTATTCTACGTTACTTTTTAATGTATATTCTTTTATAAAATAGACTTCCAAGAAGTGAATGTAAATAAGTCACAGGTGTATATCAGGAGAAGATGATGTCACCACAAATGAGTTAATCCAAGCAATTTGAATTTTACCCAGAAGAGAAATCATTAAGTTATTTAATCTTTAGTATAGAAAATAATTGTACAAAGTTCTTTGGCACAACACTTTTCAGATATAAATGTTGGGAGTGTATTTTGAAAGACATATTGCATATATAGCAAAAACAAAAGGAAACAATCCTATGTTTTAAAATTATATAGAAAACATATATAAATATGAATATATACTTACCTTAATAGCCAGCATCCCAGATGATCTGCAATGATCCTTGCCTCTTGATATTCTTACCTTTGTGTGATTCTCTCCCACAATGTACCACTGTTGGTCTGTGTGACTAATAGCATATGGCAGAAGTGATGTCACTTCCAAAATTAGGCTATAAAAGACTGAAACTTCCACCCTTCCCTAGATAGATAGATAGATAGATAGATAGATAGATAGATAGATAGATAGAGATAGAGATGATGGATATATATATATAAATACCTGTCTATCTCATCACTCACTCTAGGAGACTCAGTTGTCTTTTTGTGAAAATTTTCAGGCAGCCCATGCGTAAGGAACAAAGGCCACAGCCAGCTTCTAGCAAGGAGCTGAGGCCTGTCAACAACCATGTGAGTGGCCTTAGAAGTGGAGTCTTCAGCCCCAGCAGAACTTAAGATGATTGTAACCCTGAGAACAGGATCATTACAACTTTAAGAGAGACCTTAAGCCAGAAAACCCATTTAAGCCATTCCCAGGTCCTGACTCCTAGAAACTGTGTAAGATAATAAACATTTGTGGTTTAAAGCTGTTACATTGACAGTAATTTGTTATGTTACAATGAATATGTAATATATTTGTCAAAATGCAATACCAAAGAAGCACTTAGGGTTTATTGAAGGGTTTAATATTTTAAATTTATCACCGTTACAACAATTTTCTTCTTTAAATTAAAAATGTATGAAGTGTTGAGGTTTGCCATGATGATTGCTATCCTTAAATACATAGGGGTTTATTTTCTAATGGGCCCTTTTAAAAAGGCAGTTAATGTCACCCAAAAGTATAAGATGAATTTTACTCAAATATTTATTGGATGGTATAGTATTTTTTTTGGAAAAGTATCTACCACAAAAATGTTTATTTTGAAATGATATGTTGTCGGTTTGGATCACTGTTCTCCTTTGCATAAGGGCATGCTTTGTTTTTTTGTTTTGTTTTGTTTAATTTTTTTAAATGTTTATTTATTTTTGAAAGAGAGAGAGAGAGAGAGCAAATGAGTAGGTGTGGGGCAGAGAGGGAGGGAGACAGAATCTGAAGCAGACTCCAGGCTCTGAGCTGTCAGCACAGAGCCGGACACGGGGCTCAAACCCACAAACCGTTAGACCATGACCTGAGCTGAAGTCGGACTTCAACCTACTGAGCCACCCCGGAGTCCCATAAGGGCATGCTTTTATAGTGTGGGGCTGATTTCAGAGCTATGTGCATAGTCTATCGGTTGAGAGATGTTTTTGACTTAAACAATGTCCTTTGTTTCACTAAGTTGTATCAACAGGTTCTTCTTGTCCTGAAAAGGAATATTTAAGGACAGATTAATTCCATGATTTCATCAGTGTGACTTTCTGGTTCCAGAACACCCAGATGGTCTGATGACTCAGTATCAGTTCATCAACAATCTTTCTCTAAGAGTATCTAGTTGAGTCTCAGTGAACCAGGCTAGCTGGATATTCTCAATTAGGGAACCATTCTATTTAAGCTTCAATTTATGAGGGAAATGGAGAGGAGAGGGGATTGGAATTTGTATGAGTTTGCTAGGGCTGCCATAATAAAGTACCACAGATTAAACAACAAACATTTATTTTCTCAAGATTCTGGAGGCCAGAAATCCAAATCAAACTGTCAATAAGGTTGATTTCTTATGAGGGCCTTTCTCCTTGGCTTGTTGACGACCATCTTCCTTTGTGTCTTCACATAGTTTCCACTTTGTGCAGGCCTATGTCTTAATCTCCTCTTCTTATTAGAATACCTGTCGTATTGGATTAAGGTCCACCCTAATGACATCATTTTACCTGTTAAAAGACGACTTTATCTTAAAATACAATCACATTCTGAGGTATGGAATTCAGAGTTCAATATATGAATTTGAAGGGGAACATAATTCAGCTTATAGGAGACCTGAAATATATTATTTAGATTAAAAAACTAAAAGACAAAACAAGTAAAATCATTAAAACACTTAAGCAGAGCTAAAATACAGATATGTATTATAGTACAAGTAGCAATGAGTTCATATTTATTATAAATGACAAGGCTCAGAAAATATATAAAAAATAACATAAGAATCAATAGCATCAAAACAGTTAATCATGGAGAATTTCTCCATGGAGCTTGGGTAGGAACCATTAGGGACCATCTTAGTAAAAGGCTACTGCAGTGAGAGAGGGGGTGGTTACATAATCATGAAGTTGATAACAAATGATATCTTTAAATGAGGAAGTTCATCAAAAATTGCTCTATAGACCATTCAGATGAGATCAGGCACATTCAGGATGATATGGCTGTAGACAGGACGATTCAAATTCATCAAAGTATAAAGAGATTAAGGAGCATATATTTGAGCATTGGTCTTTCTTGGAATTGGGTCGTTTGTATTAAGAGAGTATTGCAAATGTTTTATGCAGAGGAAATAAAAATCACAGTTAGAAAGCACATTAAAACTATTGTAAGATACATACGTATGTGTTAAAGAAATGCCCAGCGAAAAAGTAGTCAGATCTGGGTATGGATGTAGTAAATACCATTTTAAAAAAATAAATTCATTGCTTGTAATGTCTAATTTTAAGAAAAATCATTCTAAGACAAGCTAGTAAGTTTGTCACAGGTGAAAATATCACATAGTATATTCATATGAGTAGTTCTTAGTTGATCTCCAGGAAAAATTTGAAAATAAAAACTAATATGCTTTCTTCCAGGAATTTTAGAAAGTACCAAATCCAACAAAAGACTTTGTGATATGGTAGCTCACAGTGAATGGATATCAATCATGTTTATAAAAATTATCTTCACTTATTTGGGGTATTAGTCTACTTAGCACATTTGGTCATAAGTTAATCAAGGTAATCTGTGTGTGTGTGTGTGTGTGTGTGCGTGCGTGCGCGTACACACACGCACATGTGGGGTGGTATATAATACAAAGCAAATAAAGATATTCTATTTCTCTTTTAGTGAAAAAATTATAAGAAAGACACAGGCAGTTTGCTCACTAAATTGCTTTAAAGGTTTTTAATACTAACATCTGTAGTTATTTAATACTTCAGAGCAGGAGCAAACAAACTTTTTTTTGTAAAGGGCCGAGCAGTAAATACTTGCAGCTTTTCTGGCCATAGGACCTGTGTCATAACTACCCAACTTCTCCACCATCACATTAAAAACAGCTATCAACAATACTTAAATAAATGTGGCTGTGTTTTCCTGTGACAGCCACACACAGTTGTGACAGTTAGCACATGTGCAGTCTTTTCCATGATCAAGTAACTGGTTGAAGGACTTTAAAAGTATTTACCTTTTTTTCACCAAAACTCCCCAAAATGTGGGTATAATTGTTACTCTCATTTTATGGATTTTACTTTTCAAAACTGTGTCACTGTGCATCTGGCTTCTATTATCTGGTGTGTGTCTGTGTGTGCATCTAAAAACAGAGAAATATATGTGTATAAATAATTGTATTCACTTGTACAAAAAACCACAGATCACAGGAAAAATTAGAGCACCATGGCCACTCTTATCAAAAGCTGGGATCCATCCTTCTGTTCTTAGCGAAGGTAAGATTTTTTAAATCATGCAAAATAGAAAAGGGAAAATAGAAATATTCTACCAACTGAATGAGCACACAATCAGTGCTACAACTCCGAGCATTACTCCAGGTGCGTGTGCCCTGAGGTCTGATGAAGCCTTTAATATCGAGTCCTTCTCATACAACCTCCCAAACAGGGTTACAGTCAAGATAGGTCCAGATGGCGGCTTCACGCTAAACAGGCGTCCATCACTTGACACCTAATTAAAGCACAGAGAAATTAACTGGGTCTCCCGGGAAAGTATACAACTCCACAACACACTTTTAAAATTCAGTGCAACTGGGTGCCTGGGTGCCTCAGTCGGTTGAGCGTCTGGCTTCGGCTCAGGTCATGATTCCACGGTTCGTGGGTTTGAGCCCCATGTCAGGCTCTGTGCTGACAGCTAGCTCAGAGCCTGGAGCCTGTTTCAGATTCTGTGTCTCCCTCTCTTTCTGACTCTCCCCTGCTCACGCTGTCTCTCTCTCCCTCTCTCTCTCTCAAAAATAAGTAAAACATTAAAAAAAATTTTAAAAATTTTTAAAAAATTCAGTGCAACTGGAGGAGGAAGCAATAAAAATAATGGCTAACTTCTCTTCTGTCAGAAATTGTACTTACTTTTTTCTCACCCAAATCCCTAAAATGTGGATATAATTGCTACTCTGATTTCATGCATTTTAACCTTTCAAAATTGTGTCACTGTGCATCTGGCTTCTATTACCTGGTGTGTGGGTGTGGGTGTGTGTGTGTGTGTGTGTGCACGTGCATCTAAAAACAGAGAAATATGTATGTGTAAATAATTGTATTCACTGTACAAAAGACCACACATCACAGGAAAAATTGAAGGTATGGAATTGGCATAGATTCATTTATTATTGAAATGGCTATAATCGGTATCTTATAATTTACTTATTTGAGGAAGCATTCTGTGAGTTAACAAGCATAAAGCAACGGGTATGAGAGTATCTAAGAGAAATCTAATGCTCTCAGACAAAACAGGCTCTTCCAAGTGGACAGAAGGGACTGACTGAGGGGATTGAGCTGGGCCTCCGTCATCCCTGTCCTTCGCTCCCCACAGCCCCTCAACGTGTTCATTGTCCCTGGTGGCCCACAGTAGCTGTTGCTAAAGGAAAGTGAAGTAAGAGCAGAACCCATAGGAAAGTCAGGGGAAAAACATGACTGGGTAGAGCTTACGGTAAGGAACTATTTCTGGCCTTTAAAAAAAAAAAAAAAAAAGTGTTTGCTTTCTTGACAATTTCAGCCACTGTCAGATTCTCTCTCCCCAGCTTTTCCTTCCTTCTTTTTCTCCTGTGATCACAGAGGGCACAATGAAAGGAATTCCCTTTAACTTTGCTAGGCTATCACTGTCCATGATGTGAAGGGGTTCCCCCTGGTGGGGCTGGTCCTGAAACCTTTCTGGAGTCTTCTTCCTACTCAGCAGATCCTAAACAGTCAGCCTCCTCCCAGCAGTCTCCATAATTATATATGTATATATAATATATATATATTTATAGATTTCTCAAGGACTCACTAATTATTATACTAAGAATTTCCAGACAAAAAATTCAACCTGCTCAGTGTCCTTCCTGATTCCTAAGCACAACTTTATCCTTTCCAAATGGAGATTTTTGTGATATTTGCAAACACTTGAGTAGGTTTCGTAGTCAAAAAGTGCTTCCTCTCACATGACATGAATTGTCAATATTAAGCAAAGGTTCTTACCTGAAATTCTCCAGGTGCAAGCTGACTGTCGCTCAGCAACACCTCGGGGAAGACGTATCGGGTTCCAAAAGTACCACTGAGGGAAAACATTTCAAACCTGGAGGAAGCAGTTTCAACCGCAGCACCACAAGTGCTTAAGTTCAGTGTTTTACACTTCAGCAGAGTACAAATCTAGGAAAGTAAATGCCAACCAGTGAGTCCTAGGAAAGCCAACTGATGCACCCTTCTGACCTAGAAGTAATGCCTTTGCAATGTCTAGGCCCTTTTGTTTGATAAAATAATGTTATTTTTTCATAGATTAATTCAGTTCATTGACGGACACATAATTCAACTAGTAATAAAAATAAAGGACTTCAGACCCCAATGCTTTCTGTAATTCATGGTCAAACAGATTAGATCTCATAAAGAAACAATCAGTCCTTGGTCTATAGCCATGAAAAACTATACCCTCATTGTTCGCAAGCTGGCAAGGCTTTGAATAATTGACTTCCATTGTTTTCAAAAGGTGAAATCTGGTTTAATCTCTACATTTTTGCCTATTTCCCATCATAAAAGAACTTTAAAGTTAGAATGAACCCTAGAGTTGATCTAGAGGCAATCCGTGTGAGTTGGAAAAGTCACATACTTTATATCTGAATAAGAACTGAAACAGTTCTCACTATACGGCGCAGTTATACTCTACTTGGCTACTACATAAGCATCTGAATGTAAACTCTAAGTATGTGAATCATCTCACCATGCAGATGCGAAGTCCCCCAAAGGAAGATCCATATTCATTGAACCTGTACTACATCTTCCAAACTTTATTTCAAGCCACCCTTACCTCCTGCCTCACTAAAGCAACAGCCTCTAATTGGTCCCCTTGTTAGAGAATAAGATCTTTAGAGCAAGTATATTAAAATGGGATACAAACAGCTTTCAGATACAGGAAGAATGAATACATGCTTCTGTTTTATTCCCTTGATATTTTACTAAAGTCAACCTTAGTTTTTTGCTTGTTTGTTTTAAGACGTAAACCCGTAAGGATAGGGGAATAGGAGGCTTAGAGAATGGCTTAATGTTGGAAGCTGGGGTGGTTGATGCAAAAGTAGCCACTGACTTTGCAGACCTAAAGAAAGCCAAGTCCTAATCTGGCAGCAAGAGAGCCATGAATCAGCCCTTTCTACTCAGCAGAATGCTCAGAAGTTTCCATCCCTGGGAGCACCGGGTACCTCAGGAGCTGGTAAAGGTGTGGTGGCTAACATAAGGAAAAGTGGTAGGAAGCTGTTAAGGGTGCCTCAGATACTGAGTCACCGCCATGGTTGGGCAACTCTCCATCCCCTATTCCAGTAAAAGATGGGGCTTTTATTTCCAGAGAGGGTAAGGCAGATGCTTTTTAGTAGAGGTTTTGAAAAACCTAGTTGGAGGGGATTACATGAATGAAATTTACTAAATGATGAAATCATTCCCCTCCACCCTGGATGCGTCCGGCAAGGTCATTCTCCCAGCTGGCTCTCTACATGCTGTCAGCAATGATGACTTTATCCTTCAGAACTAAAATTGACAGATAAATACAGGACAGAAGCCCAATTTAAATTTGAAGTTTAAATAAACTAATAGTACAAAAATGGTTTCCAGTATATAAGTATGTCCCAAATATTGCATCAGACAATCTTATATATTTTTAATATTTGTTGTTTAAACTTTGAATCTACTAGGGCTGTAGTTTAATTTGCTAAATTAGGTAACATTATTCAGGAAGGGAGTTAGAAGAATTTTAAAACCTTGGAAACCTGACCCATCCCAAGAGGAAGTCCCCAAATATACTTAGGCAGGGATTCCCCTCACAAAATGCCTGGCTGGATTACTCTACTAACAATTTTAAGCTACTTTGAAGGCTAAAATGTGCAAGTATCACTCATATGCTCAGCCTTTCGGTTAGTTTTTGGTAAGGTTAAAGGGTTATTGTATTTATGAGGAAAGCTTCTAACATGAAACAGAGAGCAAAACAGGCAGATAAAAGAAACTTTAGGGGAAAAGAGACTATTTAAGGAAAGGAAGCTTCAAGAAAAAAATTTCTGTGGGGCACTTTACGGGCTCAGTCAGTTAAGCATCTGACTCTTGATTTTGGCTCAGGTCATGATCTCACACAGCTCCTGAGATTAAGTCCTCTTTCAGACTCTGCATTGACAGTGCAAAGCCTGTTTATGATTCTCTCTCTCCCTTCTCTCTGCACCTCCCCTGCTCACCCTTGGTGTCTCCTTCTCTCTCAAAATATGAGACATTTAAAAGAAAGAAAACAAGAAAAAAAATTTCCTTAATAGTCTCAAAGAGGTAAAGTACTGTATCCACAAAACAACATCAGCAGAGAAAACAAAATTCGTGAGGCAAAAACATAGTTCTTGAAAAATAAAAGCATGTCAACAAAAATAAAAGACTCAATGCATGGTTTGAAAGATCAAGAGGAGAAAAACTCTCAGAAAGTAAATGAAAAAAAAAAAAAAGAAATAGCAAAGAAAAGATAACATAAATTAGAGGACAAATCCAAAAACCACAGGATTCCAAAAATAGGGGTTCCAGAGGGGAAAACATGGAGGAGAGGAAATTCTAAAAGGTTTCTGAGCAAACAGTAGGAAGGGGGATACACATTCAAAGGACAAGGGATCAAAATCACTCAAGAATTCTCAGTAGCAATACAATGACCTCGAATTTTGTACCTTGGGGAATCCTCCATCAAATATGAAAGGAAAGGCATTTTCAGACCTGTAAGTTGAAAACATTTTATCACCCACTCATTCTCTTCCAGGAACTTAATAACAACAGCAATAAAGGAGGTGTGTGGTACTGTGTAAGAAAATATAGTAAGAAATATATATTTGGTCTTTTTCTAGTGCCTGGCAAGAAGATCCCTAAAATCCTTGGTATTTCCTTAGTGATACGAGGTGAAATATGAAAGGAAAGCCTTTTGTTACTTATAACAAGCCTCTTGCAACCACATCTGAATTCACATTAATGAGGAGATTTTTGGAGAGTCTTAAATAACCACAGGATAGAAGCTGGTGACCAGGGAAATCACCCACCTGGTTAGAGAGTTGGAATTTTCAGCCTCACCATCCCCACCGCTGTATCTGCAGGGGGGAGAGGACCTGGAGGCTAAATTAATCACCAATCATCAATAATTTGATTAATCGTGTCATGAAATTAAGCCTCCATAAAAAATCCCCAAAATACAGGGTTCAGAGATATTTTAGGTTGGTGAACAATTCAGGCAAAAAGATGGCATGCCCCCAGCTCCATGAGGACAGAAACTCCTATGCTTGGGATACTTCCATACTTGCCCTATGTATCTCTTCTACTGGCTATTCTTTTGTAGCCTTTAAAATGTCCTCTGTAGGGGTGTCTGGGTGGCTCAGTCAGTTGGGCGTCTGACTTCGGCTCAGGTCATGATCTCACGGTTCGTGGGTTCAAGTCCTGTGTCGGGCTCTGTGCTGACAGGGAGCTCAGAGCCTGGAGCCTGCTTCAGATTCTGTCTCCTTCTCTCTCTGCCCCTCCCCCACTCACTCTCTGTCTCAGTCTCTGAAAATAAAAAATAAAAGACATAAAAAAATTTTTTTAAATAATAAAATATCCTCTGTAACAAATTGTTAGTAGTACATAAAGTACTTTCCTGGGTTCTATGAGCCATTCCATAAAATTAGCAAACCCAAGGCAGAGATCATGAGAAGCCCTGATTTACAGTCAGTCAGGTCAGAAATGCAGATGATAACCTGGACATGTGATTGGAGCCTCAAATGGGGAGACCAGTCTTGTGGGACCGAGGTCTTAATCTGTGGACTCTTCCTTAGCTCCTGGTAGATGGTGTCAGATAAGTAAATTTCAGAAGAAACAGCTAAAAGATTCAGAAGTCTTTGCCTTCAGAAAGAAGGACAAGATGAATTAGGGAAGAAACCAGTGTTTTACAAGGCTTTAGTGCTGTCTTCCTAGGTGTGCCCCTGCATTACTTTTATGGAAATGAAGAAAGAAGTGATAGAAGCAATCGAGGTGGTAGGAAGCGATATTCTCTGGCATATGAGAGGGACTAAAGAAATAAAGGAGTTGAATCAGGAGCTGCTTACGACAGAGCCAGTGTTCATGTGAGTAAAACCTGGTTGTATAGGCCTGATAAAACAAAAAGTTATGTTATTTTTATTAACAAACAACAACAACAATAATAATAATAATTTAACATTTATTGAGGACTTTCTATATGCTAAGCATGGTGCTAAATTCTTTACATTTATTTATTTATTTTTAAGTTTTTTCCTAATTTTGAGAGAGAGAGAGAGTTGAATAGAAGCAGGAGAGGCAGAGAGAAAGGAAGACAATGCAGAGCCCAACGTGGAGCTCAAACTACAAACTGTGAAATCATGACTTGAGCCAAAATGAAGAGTTGGATGCTTAACTGACTGAGCCACCCAGGTGCCCCTCTTTATATTTATTTATTAAATCAAAGTTTCCAAAAATGCTATAAAGAATTATTATTATCCTTACTCCCTCCTAGGCCCTCCAGTTGAATGGTTTAATTGTCCATGGTACTTGCCTTTAGTGGCATTTGTCACAGCTAAAACTAACTAGTGATTTCCTTAGTTTTCTCTTCAGTGCCTGTGTCCCCAAGCTCTATGAAGACAGGGGCTATATCTGTCTTGCTCATCCTAATATCCTCAGGCTGTATCAAGTGCTTGAACACAGAAAGCATTACATAAATATTTGGTGACTGAAAATGAATCCACATGTTATAGATAAGGAACCAGAGATTTAAAGAGGTTGACCTGGTGGCCACTATACAGTAAAGAAGGGATTTAGCCAGAATTTCTGACTCCAGAATCTATGTTCTCATCATGTTATATCCCTGATTTCTTACCCTGTTGGAAAATAGTTTTACATTCTAGAAGACTAGAAAGACTAGGTGATTTGGAGGACCTTGGTGGGAGGAAATGGAAAGGACAAAGGGTACAGAAAGTAATCTAAAGAGGAAGGTCACCCAGGTTATATGGGGTAAAGGGAATGAACTTCCTTTGTTTAGTTTATTCTTTCTTTATCCATTGATTTACTCAATGATTCTTTAAAATATGTAGGCTGCTCCTTTTCCCAGTCTCCTATAACCACTGCTATAAATCTTTACCCAATCTTTCACCATCCTCTACTCTAGAAAATGCTAACAACACCTTCTTTCCCCATGGCCTTAAAATTCAGTATAGAACACTTGGAAAATCTCCGCAGCAAGATGCGGAGTTATTGTACCCTTATCTTCTTTTCTTTGTCTTCTCTTCTTAGTTAAGAACTAGATTTTGGTGTTACAGAGATTTTTCTGGCATTAGTTATCATCACAGTTAGACTATGAAAGATTATGAATATAATCCAACACCCAAATCCCTCATCGTTAATTCCAAGACCAAAGTTCACTGAAAATAAAGGTTTTTGTAGCACATTGGACATTGAAACCTAACTTGAACTAACATAAGGCCGTCATGTTTTTATTTAAGCTGTTTAGGGTAAATAGTCCCATGTTTTCCAGCAGACATACTAACACGTTTTATCTGAGGTGCTGCTCCAGACTCTGCTACTGGTATCAGGTACCACATCTCCAGCTGAATGTCCCATAAATACTTCAAAACTGGAATATCCAAAGCTGAACTGAAAATCTCTCCACTGCCACTCAGTCTGCTCCCCCTCTAGAATCCTGACCTGTCAGAAACATACATCACCCAGCCACTCTTGGAAACCTGTCTTTCTAGCACCTTCGTTCTGCTTTTCTGTCAAATTAGCATCTAAGTTTAGTCTTCTACATATTGCCAGACTCCATACCCTGCTCTTATTCCTACTGACATAATCTTGATACAGGTTTTAATAAGACCATTTTAATAATCTAACTAGTCTTTGTGCCTCGTTCCCCCCTCCACGGCACTGCAACAGTGATCTATGCAACAGCAGATCTGATCACATCATTCCCTTGCTGAATGCCTTCCCACAGAAGACTGTCACCCAGATAATAAAGTCCAACCCTTAGGCATGAAAGGCAAGATCCTGCCAAACGTAATCCTGCCTCTAGGCTCATCTTCCACCAATCCTTGTTTCTTACATTATGCCTTAGTAACACTGACCCACATACCATACTTCTTGACACATCTTCACCCTTGCTCATACTCTCCACTCCACCTAAAATTTCCTCCCCCTCTTTTTCATCTAGATAATAGCGTAAGCTTAAGCTCATACATCCTGTCTCCAGAAACTTCCATGAATCCCCAAGTTAGGCTAGGTACAGCTTTTTAGTATTCCTACAACAAAATGTGCGTTCTGTGTTCTATCACATCCCAACTTGTACTGACATTATCTGTTTATATGTCTTTCCCTCCTACTAAGTTCTTCAAGAGGAGGGCCTTGAATTATTCATCTTCATATCCTTAGCACTGAATATATATACCTACTATGTAGTAGGCACTCAACAAGTGTCCAGATGAAGATACATTAATAGAGTGCTTATCATGCAGTAAACATGTTGCACGGTAGTTCCAACACTAAAGGGTTTTCAGTCTCAAACAAGTATGGGCATAATTTCACATAATATATCCCTGATAAATCTGAGCACAGGATGTCTGAGGTACTTAGCCCAGGTGGAAAGGTGGCCGTGGTGCTATAGGAAGTGTCAGGGAAGCCCTCGTGGTGAAGATAACACCTGAACAGCACCATGAATGGTGAGTTGTGGGGCCATCATAGATAAAGGAGACAACCTGTGGAAACATCCAGAGGGTCTACAGATGCTGGCATGCTGGGGATGAGGAAATGTCTCAACATGAGAGGAGCCCAGGGCACATGTGGGTAGAAGTGGGAGAAGAGAACAGAGAGTAGGAGGAGGTACATGTCAAGAATTTCTGAGTATCTTTTTGGTGAGGAATTTGATTTGCTAGTTGGGAGACAGCGAGGCATTTTAAGGAAGAGAGGGAAATAATCAGAATTGGTTTTTAGTAATTGTTATAATTAGAGTATAGGAAGTGGATGGGATGGAGCTAAAACTGTCAACAGGAAGCCCTGTTCAGAGGATGTTACAACAATCTGGATGAAATAGGATGGTAGCCACGTCAAGGAAGAGGAGGGCAGCCTATAATCAATGAGGAACATGGAAGTTGCTTGTTTCTAGTAGTTGCACCTCACCATAGGTCTTCCTTTCACATCGAGGGCTGTGTGATACCAATCTCTGCAGCAGTAAACTACTCTATGCGTATCTCAGAAGGCAACTCTATATGTCTCCAGGACATACTTAATGTCAAGTCCTTAAGTAAAAAAAAAAAAAGGTGGGGGTGCCTCAGTGGCTCAGTCAGTTGAGCGTCCATCTTTGGCTCAGGTCATGATCTTGCAGTTCATGAGTTTGAGCCTCCTGTTGAGCTCTGTGCTAACAGCACAGAGCCTGGAGGGAGCCTGCTTTGGATTCTCTGTGTGTGTGTGTGTGTCTCTCTCTCTGCCCCTCCCCACTCATGCTCTGTTGATCTCACTCTCAAAAATAAATATTTAAAAACACAAAAAATAAAAATAAAAAGCTTTCGTGAACATATCAAGAAAATGGGTATGTTTGTTCAAGGAAGAAATATCGGAGGTTAATCATCCATTAAAATCGCTTGTACCTTGATTATTGTATCATTTTAAATGCGGGTACTGTTAATAAATCTGCCTTTTTCCAGTCAGCTTAAAATTGGACTGACATCTAGGATTGCAATTGTTAGCAAATAAAAGTTCAGGATGCCCAATTAAATTTGAATCTCAGGTAAACAACAAAATTTTTAGTGTACATATAGCCTCAAAACTGGGACACATATTTTTCTTGAAGTGGGACACACTTAAATAAAACAAGTCATTGTTTATCTGAAAGTCAAATTCAACTGGGTGTCCTGTATTTTGCCTGGTTAACTCCTCTGCCAACAAAACAAGCATTACCTGTAGATAATAAGTCCCTTCGACAATATGTAGTCCATCAAATGCCCCTAGGGCGTAAACTTCATCTGGTTTCTTCTCAGACATCTTGTAGCTCAAATGACAGCAGAGTTCTTTCTGACAAACTGTGTAATTTCCTGTGACTCTTGTAAGCTCCAGGAAGGTGAATTCATCAAAAAAGACAGGGCTTTTAAATTCCTGATTTGCTGTTGAGAATGCTTTTATGTTACTAGCATAAGAAGTCCAATTCACCATTACAGGGTGGTGTGAAGAATTCAGTCGTGAGATGAGGAGTTTTCCTTCCATTGTCTTCATATCATAATGAAATGCTCTTGGAGAGTCAGGTGCATAGATGCCACTTCCTGAAAGTGACGTTGGAAATGGCATTTGACATAGAAAAGTGATTGCACGGTTGCTATTATTATTTTAAACTCACATGAATATTTAGTCTGCCTAAGCTTACTATTTCATTAATTTCAGTAAAATATACTGAGAAGAACAACAGGTGTGAGAAAATTCAACAGAGCTTGATACCAAGAAGCCAATAAGAGAAACTTTCTGGTCAGAAGTGGTAGATTTTGAAGAAAAAAAAAAGTGTGCCTATAAGTTGAATAAAACTAAACAAATCTACAAAGCAATTTAGATTGAGATGGACTCTATAGTATGTCACCAGCTAGATATGCAAAAAATAAGAGTTGGAAACATTATATTAAGGGGCACATGTTAGCTAGAAAAAGCATTATTATTATTTTACTTTTTTGATTACATAAAATTTGTAAATCTTAGAGATTACACATTACCTGTCATTCTCTTTTGGGGACGGTGTATATTGGCTGCAAGGAAGTTGACCCCCATGCCCACTGCCCAAGCTGAGTGGAATTCAATAGCTGATAAATGTGGCAAAACATTCATCCATGCTGTTGGGAAGACTATGGTATCCACATGGAAATCTTTCACCAGAGTAACAGCAGGATCATGGAAGAGTATATCAAAGCACGTGAAAATGCCAAATCTTCCAAAGATGGTGTCAAAAGTTATAACCTCAAGCTTCTTTGGTACATTGAATTGACTTTCACCCATGAAAAGATTGTGCTGTAATAAACAGAAGATAAAGGGGGTAAAAGTCTCTTTTCAGAAGTTGGTCTGGGTATTACTGTGTCTGAAAAAGTGGAAGCCAATATCTCTTAGTGCCAATTTCATCTATAACCACTGTCTTCAAAGGGAAGATGTGTTAGAGAATCAGAATACTACAGCTGATAGGAGCCTTTGGTTCAATCTCTATATTTTATAGATATGTAGAAGGGAATCCTTATTTGTTAAGACCCTACTGAATCTTACAAGACATAGGAGTGAAATAGGTAACTTCTATTTGCCAAGAACACTTAACTAGTTTCCATGGACAGAATTGCTCCTTTCTCTTCAAAACCAAGAGTATCCGGTAGGTAGTTTTTTGTTCTAGTCTTGACCCATTGCCAAAGCATGTCTTTAAAAAGACAAAGTCTAAAGGCAATATTATATTTCAGTGTAGGTACCTCCCGCTGATTCTCACATGCTTCCAAAGGTACATTCCTGTATTCCTAAATGCATAGAAAACCTCTTGAACCTCTTTATAGGAGCTTACCACACCTAATCATTGCTTTGTCTCTACTCTGCTTCTAAATTATGCTTATTATCAACAAGAATGATTTTTTTCCCTTTTTGTCCACTTTATTTTGTTAAACATTCAATAACTGAACTGTGTGCAAATTAATTTTACCTTATGGTAACGTGCCACCAGTTTTCCCTGAGAATCAAACACCACATCAGTGTTATACTGGTAACGACCGTCAGGGGGACACTGAGGGTCACTGGCATTGCATGGTTTCTTGTCCCCAATATTTGCTACAATGTAGATAGAGTTGTCCTTGGCCAGGCAGCTGAGTCTTTCTTGCACTGGGGTGTGGCCAAACCTAATATGTGTTCATTGGAAGAGGAAAACAAAAATCAAGCTTATCTTTTCATAAAATTCAGTATTATATTGCCTGAAGCTATTATTAGACATACACAAAACTGAATCCTAAATAACATAATAGAAGAGAAGAATTAAAACAAGAATAGACTTTGGAGAAGTACATGCTTGTGGGAATTCGGTTGTAGAAAACTATACTAGGATAAGATTCTAGTCATGTATCTTTTTCTTCATAGCATTTATCATTATCGATAATCATGTATTCATTATATGTTTAGCTTATGATGCGTGTCACATCTCACAGATATTTTGGGGCAAAGATATACATCTTCTGCTCACTAACCCTGGAAGAAAAGAGGCATTAAAAAATATTTCAATTGAAACAAAAACAACTTGGAATGAGGAGAATTTTGGGAAGATGGCAGAGTACAAAGTACCAGGAATCCATCCTTCCATGTAAATAGTATTCGTGCTGGCGGAATTTAAGTGAATTTCTGGAATCTATTCCAAGTGTTGTTAAGTTCCAGGGGGAAGGCCTGGACGGCAAATTGCAGTTAGTTTCAGTCCATTTCAGCTCTTATCTCACTCAGCAGTGGCTTCCCATACTCTACCCTACCCCTATCCCCATGCCAGGCAGCCATGCAAGTATTCCTGGAACACCGTGCAGGTAGTTTACGGGATCAGGTTGGGCGATAGAAACCCTGTCCTCCAAATATCAGGGAACTGTATTCTGAGCACTGATAACTGCTTCTTGTCCTGGAGCTGCAGACACAGGGACAGGTAGCCATTGTTGCACCTCCACCACTACAGTGTTGTAAGTCCTTCTCCCACTGGCTGAAATAATTTCTAGAGGATTTAAAGAGCCAGGGTCGTCTTCTCTCCCCTTTCTTTAATTTTGCTATTTTTTTTTTCCTTTCAGGAATCAGACATTGAAGGACTAGGATATACAAAAGCAATCACATATATAGGAGATTTTAGAAAGTCCCCACACATGCCCAGAGAAAAATAAAGGCTAAGACAAGGCTTCAAAAGATAAGTTTATACCTCAAGCTTATGCCTAGCACAGAAACACCTACAGCAAACAAAACAAATAAACAAGCAAAAGGCAGTAAACGATGAGGAAGGGGGAAATTTTGATTTCCATAATTATCACATTTTGAGATTCAAATATCAACTTGTCAACAACAACAAAAAAAAGTCATAAGGCATACAAATAAACAGGAAAGTGTGTCCCCATTCAAAGGAAAATAAGAAGAAACCTACAGAAACTATCTTTGAGAAAGACCAGATGGCAAACCTACGGGACAAAGACAAAAACAATGATCTTAAAGATGCTCAAAGAACTAAAGGCAAATGTGGAGAAAGTCAAGAAAATAATGTATGAACAAAATGGAAATATCAATAAAGAGATGGAAAACCTAAAATAAACCAAAAAGAAATTCTGGAGCTGAAAATTACTTTAAAATAAAAGATTTACTAAAGGGAATCAGAGATGTATTTGAGTTGGCAGAAGAAAGAATCAATAAACTAAAGGTAAGTCAATTGGAATGAGCAAGTTGAAAGAATGGAAAGAGAAAAAGATTGATGTGAACAAGGCGTAGGGGAGCTGTAGGACACCACCAAGTGGATGAATATACACCTTCTAGGAGTCCAAGAAGAGTGAGATAAAGGAATGGAGAGATTATTTGAAGAAATAATGTCCAAAAATTTTCCAAATTTGATTAAAGACATGAGTATAAAGATCCAAGAAGATAAATGATCTCCAAGAAGGATGAATTCAATGACACCCATACCAACACACATTCTAATCAAAGACAAAGACAAAATAAGAATGTTGAAAGCCATAAGAGATAAGCAATTGATAACATACAAGCAATCCTCAATAAGATTATCACAGTTTTTAATCAGATATTTTAGAGGCCAGAAGGGAGGGGCCAATATATTTAAAGCACTAAAAGAAAGGGAAAAAATGCATTCAACTAAGAATCCTATATTCAGCAACACTATTCTTCAAATGTGAGGGGGAAATTAAGACATTCCCTGCTAGTATCTGACATAATTGACTTTAAATAATAAAAGATTATAAGAGACAGAAGAACATTATATATCTATATTCACAATACAACAGAGAACTCTTAAAATTCAACAACAACAGCAACAAAACTCTGACTTAAAACTGAGTAAAAGACTTGAATAGGCTTTTCTCAAAAAAAAAAAAAAATGGCCACACAAATGGCCAATATTAGCGGCAGGTCTGTTCCTTTTTTGATAAAAACCCTCAAGAAAGTAGGGATTGAAGGATAATACCTCAAAATCTTAAAAGCCATATGTGAAAGACCTACCACTAATAGCATCCTCAATGAGGAAAAACTAAGAGCTTCTCCCCTAAGGCCTGGAACAGGACATGGATGTCCCCTCTCACCACTGTTATTCAACATAGTGTTGGAAGTCCTAGCTTCAGCAATCAGACAACACAAAGGAATAAAAGGCACCCAAATTGGCAAGAAGGAAGTCAGACATTTACTTTTTGCAGATGACACGATATTATATATGGAAAACCCAAAAGATTCCACCAAAAAACCGCTAGACCTGATCCATGAATTTAGCAGTTGCAGAATATAAAATCAATGCACAGAAGTCATTTGCATTCCTATATGCCAATAATGAAGCAGCAGAAAGAGACATCAAGGAATTGGTCCAATTTACAATTGCACCAAAACCCATGAAATACCTAAAGGTAAAACAAACCAAAGAGTTGAAAAATCTATACTGAAAACTATAGAAAGCTTATGAAAGAAATTGAAGAATACACACACACAAAAGGAAAAGTATTCTGTGCTTATAGATTGAAAGAACAAATATTGTTAAAATGTCAATACTACCCAAAGCAATGTACGTATTCAAGGCAACTTCTTACTCAACACATTTCCAGAGGCAAGGGAAACAAAAGCATACATGAACTATTGGGATCTCATCAAGATAAAAAGCTTCTGCACTGTGAAGGAAATAATCAACAAACTGAAAGGCAACCAACGGAATGGGAGAAGATATTTGCAAATGACATATCAGATAAAGGGTTAGTATCCAAAATCTGTAAAGAACTTATCAAACTCAACACCCAAAAACGAATAGTCCAGTGAAGAAATGGGCAAAAGACGTGACTAGATATTTTTCCAAAGAAGAAATCCAGATGGCTAACAGACACATGAAAATATGCTCAACATCACTAATCATTAGGGAAATACAAATGAAACCCACGATGAGACACCACCTCATATCTGTCAGAATGGCTAAAATTAACAACTCAGGCAACAACATATGTTGTCAAGGATGTGGAAAAAGAGGATCTCTTTTGCACTGATAGTGGGAATGCAAACCGAGTGTAGCCACTCTGGAAAACAGTGTGGAGGTTCCTCAAAAAATTAAAAATTGAACTACACTATGACCCAGCAATTGCACTACTAGGTATTTATCCAAAGGATACAGGTGTGTGTTTCAAAGGGGCACATGCACCCCAATGTTTATAGCAGCGGTATCAACAATAGCCACAGTATGGAAAGTGCTCAAATGTCCATTGGCTGATGAATGGATAAAGAAGATGTGGTATATAGAATGGAGTATTCCTTGGCAATCAAAAAGAATGAAATCTTGCCATTTGCAACTACATGGATGGAACCACAGACTTTTACGCTAAGTGCAATTAGTCAGAGAAAGACAAATATCATATGAGTTCACTCATATGTGGAATTTAAGAAACAAAACAGATGAACATAAGGGAAGGGAAGTAAAAATAGAACTAAAACAGGGAGGAAGACAAGCCGTAAGAGACTCTTTAATACAGAGAACAAACTGAGGGTTGCTGTTAGAGTGCTGGGTGAGGGGGTATGGGCTAAATGGGTAACGGGCATTAAGGAAGACACTTGGGATGAGCACTGGGTGTTATGCATAGAGGATGAATCACTAGAATCTACTCCTGAAATCATTATTGCACTATATGCTAACTAACTTGCAGGTAAATTAAACAATAAATAAATAAATAAATAAATAAATAAATAAATAATAAACAAAATTTTAAAAAAGGAATTAAAAAAGCTATATTACTTTTTGTCAAAAGCTTTTTCTGCATCTATTGAGAGGATCATGTGGTTCTTTTTTTTTTTTTCATTTATTACTGTGATGTATCACATTGATTTGCAGATATTGAACCAGCGTGCATCTCAGAAATAAATCCCACTCGATCGTGGTGAATAATTCTTTTAATGTATTGTTTGATGTGGTTTGCTAGTACCTTGTTGAGAATTTTTGCTTATATGTTCATGAAAAAATGGTGATGGGGTCTTTATCTGGTTTTGGAATCAAGGTAATGCTAGCCTCGTAGAATGAGTTTGGAAGTTTTCTTTCTGTTTCTATTTTTTGGGACAGCTTCAAAAGAATAGGTGTTAGTTCTTCTTTAAATGTTTCATAGAATTCCCTTGGAAAGCCATCCAGCCATAGACTTTTGTTTTGGGGAGATTTTTGATTACTGATTCACTTTCTTTACTGGTTATGGATCTTTTCAAATTTTCTATTTTTCCCTGTTTCAGTTTTGGCAGTTTATGTTTCTAGAAATTTGTCCATTTCTTCCAGATTGCCCAATTTCTTGGCATATAATTGTTCATGACATTCTATTATTATTGTTTGCATTCCTGTAGTGTTGGTTGTGATCTCTTCTCTTTCATTCATGATTTTATTAATTTGGGTCCTTTCTTTTTTCTTTCTGATCAATCTGGCTAGAGGGTTATCAATTTTGTTAATTCTTTCAAAGAATCAGCTCCTGGTTTCATTGATCTGTTCCACTGTTTTTTTATTTTTTTCAATATCATTGATTTCTGCTATAATCTTTACTATTTTCCTTCTTCTGCTGGTTTTGGGCTTAATTTGCCCTTCTTTTTCCAAATCTTTTAGGTGTAAGGTTAGGTTGTGTATTTGAGACCTTTATTCCTTGTTCAGGAAGGCATGGAT